CATTTAGATTAATACGAATTTGTTCTGGTATAGAACTCCCTGTAATTAACAGATTCTACTAAGGGTGAATATATTCATTAAGTTGTTGTTGGTCAGTAAACTGACCAGCTGGTGCCCCACTTTAATGAATGAAAAATAAATAAAACAAATGTAGTGGAGTTGAGATGGAAAAGGTGTCACTCTTCTTCCTCCATCTCACCCTTCATTATTGCTACAAGCTGAGGCTGTTGACTCATGAATCCCTAGTCAGGATTATCACTGTGAAAATTACTGTGAAAAAAAATCACTGTGAGAAAATCACAGTAATGACACTTGATTCTTGATATGTGCTGCTGACTATCCATGATGCTGATCTCATGCTGCTGATTTACTTCTTGTTGCTGTGTTCATTTGTCCTCATCTGCTCACACAGACTCATGTTTGTGCTGCTGTTGTTTGGTGCATTGTTTTGTACTAGTAGTGTATAGTCTTAGATTAGTGTATTTCTTAGTTTGTCTTAGATCTTATTACTGTTTTTCTTTGCAATTTGTATTTTTGTTGGATGTAACTGAGACCTGTTAAGAACGAGTGCCGGTTCGTTCTTCCCCGATTGGTTTAGATCGGAGGGAAAGACCAGGTTTCCTTCAGGTTTAACAACATTTATTTTCACAAACGGATGCACAGAATACAAGCAGATCTGGAGAAGCGGACCCAGAATGACAGAAGCTGGTTCTGAAAAACAAAGGAAAAAGTGTCTCCTTATAACACCTGGGGGCCTCCCCCCCAGGAGATATTTTGACCTTCTGCACAGGAAGACCATAATTCACCTCCTCAATGTACAATGTTATCTCTTGGTGTCTCCAAATGGTGAGAGTTTTCTTAGAGGCCCTCCAACATTCCTAAAGTTATCAATCAAATGAGGCTAAACCTCCCTTCCTGCTGGTGCAATTAACAGAGTTCCTGGTTCACAGCTGCATACACTAAAACACATTATCTTGACTAAACTAACCCCTAATAATCAATTAATAGTTTTAAACCTTCACAATAGCCCACAGACCCTGTGTACATAGTTACGTTGCACCTCATGTACCACATGTGATGTGAATGACATTAAAGACACCTTGACCTTGACCTTGAGAACTGAAAGAACAAATTCATTCAACCTTTATTTAAACAGATAAATCACATGGAGCCTAGAAGACTCATTTACAAGTGAGATCAGTTTAGACAGACAAAAAGTAGTGAAACTGGACACGTAGGAATTGGAGGCAAAAAAAATCCTATCAGACTCTTCCTTCTTGGCTGAGAAGAAAAACGCTAATATTAAAAAAACACATCACACAAACAGCACATAGTGACGTAGACATTCCGCAAAGGGGGGAAGACGACGAGAGTGGTGAGCAATGTCCATGGATGTTCTCGAGGACACTGTAAGAGTTCTGATAAGGATGGAATAATCAACCAGTTCCATCCGGTGAGATCCTTAAACATTCTCGAGGGAAGTCGGGGAATGGCCAAGGACAATGCCTATGGGAATCCAAGAATCCTGAAATGATGACACAATGTTTGTTCAGCTGGTTTCCAATTCCTCCTTGGGAGGGGGAGGGGGGCAGAGCATCAGATTACATGTTCTCTAGGCGAATTCAGATAAGGTTGCTTTCAAGGCCAGCCAGTGGAGCCAAATTCAGATAAGCACGGTTGTTTTGGGGACAAGCAGAACTTAATGACATCTACCTTGAGTCTGTGTTGGTCCAAACAGTTCCGAAATGTCCAAATTACATGGTCACACCGATGGAACGTGACTGAGTAAAATTCCCGAGATCTGATCAATTCTGCCCAAAGCATTTGAGTCTGGGTGCTCGAGGCACGAACCAAGCCATCATAAGGCAAGCAGCATGATCGAGTCCAAATTAGCTGCTGACGACTTCCTTGATTTTAGATAAAACCAGCAACCAGCCGAATCCAAAAAGCAGGATCTAGTTGTTATAAATCCAGTTAAATATGCGTCCTTAAAATCCATAAATGGCAGCAGAGATAGACACATCATCAAGTCTTCCAAGTTGATGAGATATCCAGTTGCGTGCGTGCTAACAGGGCAAATTGGTTCACCTAAAGCCTGTCTTCTCTTCGAAGTAATGTTATCAAATGTGATGAGGGACCAACTGATCAAATCAAGTCCATAATTGTGGTTTGGAAGATATGCAAGAGAGGCTCAGAAGCAGTTTCACAGACAAAGTCAGAACAGCAAAGCATAGAGGGAGAGATGGGGAAACGCGTCCGAACTCTGCAAGAGGAAGTGGTGAAGTGAATGATTGATCCTTCATAGCAACCTCAGTAAAATGCTTAGCCCCCCACCCCTTAGCACCTGCAAAAAAAAAAAATCTCTTGAGCCACCACTGCTTTACGCATTACCTGTTCAAACAATGCGGGGTGAGGCAGTGTACTGCTCTGGTTCACCTCTGGGGGCGCTATGTCACATACAATATATGAAGTAGGTGGTTGGTGGATGCCCATTGCTGTATCTCTTTATCGCCAATATACATGTTTGATTACACATGTGCTACACATGCTGATGTTCTATAGTCTGCCTAATATATTGAACGAATGTGTGTGACATATTTCTGCTTTCTAATATAATGCACGCGGAAAAACACTGGGGTGCAGCAAAATATACCTTGCTGCACCGATAGGGGGCAGCACTGAGTAATGTTATTTATCATGTCGTCTACTTTCTGTTCCAGTTCAGCTATTTTTCTGTCTTTATTAGTCATCAGTTCTTTCAATTGTCTCACTTCTTCAGACAGTCCTGTCAGTAAATCACATTTAGCTGATAATTTAGTTAGTTCAGCACTCAAAAAGTTCAAAGATTTTTTAACTTCCTCCATATCTTCTGAATTATTTTCCAACACTTGTCTCTTATCTCTGTGTTTGCTCGACATTACTCAATATATTGTTATAGAATTGTTTTGTACCTTTTTAAAATGAATACACTTTATACCATACCATACCATAGGGACAATGAAGCAGGTGCTACTGTGCTTCTTCTGTTACACAGAGGAGCAGCAGGGATGAAACAAATGGTACACTCATTTAAATTTTTTTAGACAAAATGGAAGATCATATCTCAAAACTAAAGGATTTTGCTAAACTAGATGAATCATACACATAAAACAAATGGATTAAAACATAATAAAATATATTAAGCATGAATGCAATGCTGTTTTTGACACAGCCTGAGTTTAGTTTGTTTTTTAAACATATTGAATCTGGTTAGAGACTTTAAATTGACATGGAGTGACTTCCAAATTGTGGATCCTCTCACAGAGAGAGCACTTTGAGCAAAAGTGGTTCTACGAAAAGGAACCTTACAGTCGCCAGCTGCTCTGGTAGATCTACTGTAGCCCTGCAGTTTCTGTATACCATTGCTTAATGGTTTGGGTGCAAGTCCATTTATGCATATGAAGATCAATTATAAAAATTGTAATTTATAAAATTGGGAAATTCTAGAATACCAAATTTAGCTAAAATATTGCAGTGATGAAATCTGGTTGTCTTTTGGTATAAAACCTTCAAGGTCCGATTGTAGAGACTTTCCAATGGTTTAAGTGTAGTTTGGTGAGTCTGTGACCAGACAGTAGCTCCATAAGACATGTGAAAGAATCATTGAGTTGAAGAAGATCTCTCCACAATGAAGTGTCAAACATTTTCTAATAACTGTAAAACAAATTTTATTGAAATATAAGCTTTTATTTTTGGTTCATATACATGAGCATCCAATTCCAGACAGTCAGTGCCTCACCTGTCACAAAGCTCACCGCACATCACTTGGATTTACAAACTGCCAAAACACTTTCCAAAACATAAGGGTGCTGTGATCATCTTCATAGATTTGTATGAAAACTACTTTCATGAAACAACTCAGACAATCGGTGGTCCTAGATGAAGGGAAAATATATAAAAATCTGTGAAACAGCAAAATTAATGAAAGAAGATCTGAGGCCGATTTCAACGGTCTGATTTGACAAAGAAATCTTTGTTGGTCATAGATTTAAATACATTTTGAACTCAATGTCAGGTTTATGGACATTATAAGTTTTTTTTTTAAATAAATCACAAAACTTCTTTCTCCATTTAGCTTTGATAATCAGGTTTATAAACTCAATCATCCAGGTGGATAACAATAAACAGTTTAAATCATGTCATCTGGACCAGTTTCTTTAATTGAGAAACGTTTTGTCCCCCATCCAGAGGATTTCGTCCTCAGGCTGTTTCTGTGAGTAGCAAGTTGGTCATCTGTCCTAAAACATTTGACTTTTGTTCATGATGATTGATTGTTTTGGATGGGTGTGTTTTGCACGTGTTAAAAGTCGACATCTGAGATTCCACACAAACACAGTAGTGAAGGCTACACACAGGACACATCTGGTTGGCAGGCCGTAGACTGAGGAAGTCCTCTGGATGGGGGATGAAATGTTTCTCACTTAAACTGGTCCAGATGATATGATATAATCTTTTTTTGTTTTTAATCTGGAGTATTATTGAAGAAGTATTACTTAAAATTAAATAAAAACCCAGTCCAGAAAGCTATGTACCTGTCAGTTCATTTTAGCCAGTTAGAATTAATGTTTTTATTGTCTCCATTTCAGGTGGAGGGTCATTTGTTTCTCTGATTTAATTGTTAATTTATTTATTAGACCAGACTGTTTTCAAAAGACACAACCTCGACCTGCAGGGGGAGGAAAATGTTGATACCTTTGTGCACCGAATACTAATAAAGTATAAATTAAGCAACATATATCTGACATACAGCATAAATATTTCTGTTTTACATCACTGAGTTCTTCCTGTCTATATTCCTGTGTAGATGTGAATTGCTGAGTTTTCTTTTTCTTCCTTTAATAATATGTTGTTCTTTATCTTTTAAATGGTTGAACAAGGTTCAAGCAGCCTCTCTGTGTTCAAACCATGACAGAGAGGGACTCGTACCAGTGACTCGTCTCTGTCCTGAATCTTGTCTCGTCATCTTTGCGCAGCAGCAGTATCGTAGCCTGTGAGGTTGATCCGAGGCGCGATTATTGCTAGTTGGAAACTTTACCCAATACTCCGCCTTGATGACTGCAAACACAGTCAGCAACGGCAATTATGGACAGTCTTAACAAAGACTGAACAATTTGTTGAAAGAAACGAGCACTGTTCAACTAGTGGTCAATTCTTCTGTTCCAGACAACCAATAGTTAATTGTAGATACAAATGTTCAATCATTTTCCTTTGCAGCTCCTCTACACCAGAGGGAGTCAACAGATCCACACCTGAGGATCATTCACTGATGAGCTGCAAGGACTATTTAAAGCAGTTAACCTTTGACCTGAAGCACAGGATAATTTCTCTCTCTGCTGTTAAATGTGGCTCAGGTGCACAGGTTCAGTGATGTGTAATTACCCATGAAACAAAGACTGAATCTGGACTGTACTCAGAGCAGTGCAAGCAGATGTCTGTGTGATTGTGGTACTGAATAGACCCAGAGAGACATAGACTACACTCTGCTTCACTTTGAACCCTCCATCGAGGTCCTTAAAGGGCTGCACCTGGACGAAACATGTATCCTTCTGTACGTCCATCTGCTTTGCATCATAAAATGTTTTTCTTTATTATCAATAGAAACTTTTTGCTGTTCTCTTTCCTCACCTGAATATTTATATTGTCATTCAACATGTGTGTCATCACTTTGAATATAAATAATAATAAAACATTTTATTTGTAGGTGCCTTTCTTGGCACTCAAGGTCACCTTACATAGTCAAGCATAAAAACAGACAATATAATACACACAGGTAAAACAAGTAAAAAATAGAATTAAAATGAGACAGTGCAGTTGCAATCACAGTGTGTATGCTACTTTAAACAGAAGAGTTTTGAGCTTGAAATGTGACAATGAGTGTGTGTTGTGAATATCAGGTGGGAGTGAGTTCCAGAGCTGGGGAGCAGAGCAGCTGAATGCTCTGTTCCTCATAGTAACAAGACGAGCAAGGGGCCCCATGAGCTGAATAGAAGAAGAGGATCTGAGGGTACGAGTGAGTGTAGCATGTGAAGAAGGTCCAAAAGGCATGGAAGAGTTTTTTGTAGTTGATGCGGTACATGATGGGAAGCCAATGAAGCTGTTGTAAAACAGGTGTGATGTGATGCCTTGTGGTGCCTTGATGTCACATGCTAACACTGCCTTCACGCAGCAGGGACATTACTCGTGAAATGTGACATGAAAGACTCGACTCGGAGTTACGAGATCACAAACCGTGCAGTGCTGTGGGAGTGGAGGTGATAAGAGGCTTAACCCTGGCTTAGTGGCTGTACAGTGAATTTACTGCCACTGGAGAGAGAAGGAAGGAAGAGGGAGGCGAGGATCGTGCTGGAGCAGGATCGTGCTGAGTAGGACAAGAAAAGAGCTGGTTGCTGGTATTAAGAGGGCCAAGGCCACATATGCAAAGAGGATCGAGGGTCAATTCATCTCACAAGACCCTCGGAGCATGTGGAGGGGCATTAAGTGCATAACAGATTATAAAGGAAGGAGTGAACAATGTCCCAAAGACCCATCTCTGCCTGATGCCCTCAACAAGTTCTATGCACGCTTTGAAGACCCGAACAGACCACCCAGCACCAGACTCACCTCACCACCGGATGAAGAGCATCTCAGCGTGACCTCAGCAGAAGTAAGGAGTACCTTCAGGAGGATTAATCCGCACAAAGCAACCGGCCCAGACAACATCCCCGGAAAAGTGTTGAAGGAATGTGCTGATCAGCTCTGTGAGGTGCTGGCAGACATCTTTAACACCTCACTTACCCTGGAGACAGTTCCCACCTGCCTGAAGACTGCCACCATCATCCCAGTCCCAAAAAGCTCTACAGTGACTGGTCTGAATGACTATTGTAGTGAACCTAACCTGAAGTAATAAGCCTAAGGTCGAAACACTTGACCTTAAGAACCTTGTGGGACAGAAACTGTTATTTCATTGATCTGCACCCAGAAATACAGTTTGACCCATCCTGAGACTTTCTTTCTTGAATTAATCAAGTAGAAAAGACAATTCTCTATGATCATTACTATTTTACAAATGTTTGATAATCAAATTGTGTTAGTTCACTCAATGTTTACAGGTTGAAGAGAACTACTCATTTTTATTTACATAAACAGTAAGTAATGATTTTTATTCCTCATTCAAAGAAGAAATCAGGGTAATATGCATTTCTTGATTTTTCTGTCTTCAATGAGCAAATTTGTAAGTATGTTAAGGTTCAAGTTTCGGTCAACTAAAAGTTTACTGAAAAAGAAATGTCATGTTTAACTATTACAGCAGATAATAAGAGTAGAGACTCCACGAAGTCTGAAGTTCTCCAATAATCTTTCTGTCTGTCACTAAAACAATCCTTGACTTTTCATAACACCTTACATCACAAACCACACCTCTTTTCTGGTCCATCGACCAATCAAAAAGCTCTCAAATGACCCGGAAGTCGACCCATTTAAATGTGGCAACTTCCCAGTCTAGCAGCGGCGCTCAAGATTGAGATTGAGTTCAACATGGGAGTTTTCAGAGCTTGAAAGTTTTCCTGGAGAAGAGTTCCAGACTTTAACTCTCTGAAGAGAGTTAAAGAGTTCAGAGTTCTTGGATGCTAACGCAGGCGTCCAGAATGCTTCTATTGGAATACAGAATGCAGTGACGATTTTGGGAATTATAACTTCTGTTTGGATAACCTCGCACGACTCTCGAAGTATTTTAGCTGCTCTCAACGGAGACGCTGAAAGAGTCAAAGGAAGGATTCTATACCGACGCTGACCTATCGTCAACCAGGTAAAAGTTCTACTTCGACCAAGCGTACCGTGAACAAGCTGAGAACTGAAGGAGCGTGCACGTTTCTGGTCAAACAGATTAATTCCCTCACACATCTCTCTGTAAGATAAATCTCCATTTTCCATCCTAAACTCTCCTTTCTCCTAAAATCATTACAGATATTTTAGAAATATCTGAAGCAAAGTTCTCAATCACTGCCGTGTGATTGATGTCTGCTGTTCTGCTGAGAAGTGAGGACAATCTCCGTATTGTTCCAACTTTCTGTGAAACTAGCCATGTTATTGTTTTCATATTCTGCCAAATTAATGTAAATGTGTGATGTTAAACTTTGATTCTGCAAATAAATGACCGCATTCATTTTGATGGGTCAAAGGTAAATAACGTCTCTCGTTACATTTCTGTTAAACTCAATGCACGCATTTACACAGTCAGAAAAATGAAGAACCCGTCTTAAACAGTATGAATATATCCTGCATATGTCATACTACACTATCGGCCAGTGGCCCTCACCCCGATAGTCGCTAAATGCTTCGAAAAACTGGTCATGACTCACATCAAAACAACCATCAACATCAACGAGGACCCTCATCAGTACGCATACCGTGAGAACCGATCAACAGAGGATGCAATCTCCTCTGTGGTCCACACTGCACTCAACCACCTGGAGCAGAAAAACTCTTACGTCCGTATGCTCTTTGTGGACTTCACATCCGCCTTCAACACCATGATCCCCCAAACCCTGATGGACAAACTATCCACACTAGGACTAAGCCCCTCCATCTGCAACTGGGTACTAGACTTTTTAACAAACAGACCACAGTTAGTGAGGATCCACAACCTCTCCTCCTCCACCATAACCCTCAGCACTGGCTCTCCTCAGGGATGTGTGTTGAGCCCCCTCCTGTTTACTCTGCTCACATATGATTGTGCAGCTACCCATCCAGGCTGTCACATTGTAAAGTTTGCAGATGATACAGCGGTGGTGGGATGCATCACAAACAATGATGAGTCCAGCTACAGGCAGGAGGTGGAACACCTGGAGAGCTGGTGCAGAGAGAATAACCTTCACATCAATGTGAAGAAGACAAAGGAGATGATTGTGGACTTCAGAAGGAACAAAAACACCTACACCCCCCTGAACATAAGAGGATCTGCGGTGGAAGTGGTCTCCAGCTACAAGTACTTGGGTGTACACATGAATGACAACCTCAGCTGGAGCAACAACACCACCAGCCTGATCAAGAAAGCTCATCAGAGACTCTACTTCCTCAGATGGCTGAGGCGAGCTGGTCTGGGAAGCTCAGTCCTCACCTCCTTCTACAGGTGTGCAGTGGAGAGCATCCTGTGCTCGAGCATCAATGTGTGGCATGGAGGCTGCACAGCTGCAGAAAGAAAAGCTTTGCAGAGAGTGGTGAAGGCTGCACAGAAATCTGTTGGAATCAGTCTCCCCACCATCACAGACATCTACACCTCCAGATGCAGGAAGAGGGCCACCTGCATCATGAAGGACCCCACCCACCCAGCACACACACTTTTTGCCCCACTCCCCTCAGGAAGGAGGTTAAGGAGCATTAAGTGTAGAACCACTAGACTGAGGAACAGCTTCTACCCTGAGGCTGTTAGACTCATGAATCTCTAACTAGAATAATCACTGTGAAAAAACCATATCATGTTGCTGCTGATCTGTTTCATGTTGCTGCTGATCTGTTTCAATGTTGATGTGTTCATGCGTGCACATCTGCTCACAGACTCATGTTCATGTTTGTGGTGATGTTCAATGTTTTATGTTATGAGTGCTTAGTGTATATTTAGTTGATGTTTTTCTTAGTTCATATCTTAGATGTTATTACTGTTTTTCTTAGACATTTTATTGTTGGATGTAACTGGGACCCTGTGTACATAATTTCGCTCCACCACATGTACCACATGAGGTGCGAATGACAATAAAGGAACTCTGACTCTGACTCTGACTCTGATGGATTGAGGGGGTCCAGATAAAACAGGATTCTCATCCTCCTGTGCGTAATGGCTGCTGGGTGGTGTGACTCCTTGGAGCTGTAGTGTTGAGTGTATAAAAAATGTCAGACACCACATGTCAAGGAGTGAATCTCTGAGCCGGAGCAGCAGACGGTCTAGCTCCATCTCCAAGACATGTTCAATCCTCAAACAAGTTCAAGGCGGCCTCCTGGAGGCAGCTACTGCTCTTTTAGATCACTTTTAAATGATGACAACATACTTTATCAGCTTCCAGATGAACCTTGTTGTAAAGCTGCTGCAATTTATAATTGACTATAAATAACAAACCCTCACATGCAGATGACATAAAACATGTTGTCATGACGTTAACAAATCCAGGAGAGCTGGTGACATTTTCAATCGGAACACATAATTGCTGGTTTATAAAATACCATTTGTGTTAGGGATTTTTTCCCTCGTATCACCTTTAAAGAATTCACACACAAGACAGAGTATAAGAATTTTGAATGAGCCCTCTGCAGAGGGGGGAGTTCATGACCTGACCAAACGTCAAGGTGAAGTCCGCCGTTCGACGGGAGAGC